TATAATATATATAATAAATATATGTATCACACGTATAATCTCTAAAACTTCAATATGTTGTAAATCCCAAAATTATACATGAAAGTAAAAGAGAAATAATTTTTTGATACTTTACTTCGAGTATAATTTTAATTTACAAGAGTCACTTACCAACTAGTTATCATTGGTATTTACACAAAAACACTGTACAGGAGATCTACGTTTAAAAAAGACCTTCAAAAAAGGACCTATTCTAATACGGATTAAAAACCGTGGGTTGATAAGACTGTAGTAACTAAACTACAATGAAATGTGTAAATCATATTAGGACTTAGCATTACTAGTAATTTTAATAATGATGGCTTTACTGGTAATTTTGTGGATCACAATAATCTCTTGTGTCTGATAGATTCCAATAGCGAATCCTGTGATGATATTCCTGCAGGGGAACGGCGGTAGTTTTAAGTCATCAAAGGCATCTTCTTCCAACAGGTTTAACCTGTGCGAAGCAGATTCTCTGACTGGCAGTCGCTGCCTTTTTGCCCTCACCGACACGTCTCGGTCTTGACTCAGCAGCCCGGGGTTCACAGGGTGCCTGCGGCACCCCCCTGGGGACAGCTTCAGTTTTTGCCCTCCTGGAAGCCAGCGTGGGCTCTTCGCTGGCCCCCGGCGTTTCCTACAGCACTGCCTTTTGGGCAGCTTTGTCTTACTGATTTTCTGTACTTAAGGCTGAGTTTCTGGTCCTGCCCGGACTGAGGCCATGCTTCTCCCAGGGAAGTTTTGGTGATGTCAAGCCGGGGCCGGCTTTGCCGGGAACGTCCATGCTGGTATTTCTTCTGGCAGCACAGCTTGGGCTTGAAGCTCTGAGCAGAGGGCAGCACTTTCCTAACAAGCGCAAACAGAAACCTCAAACCACCTTTTGAAGGTATTTTATGAAGCAATCAGTTTTTAGAAGAGAGCTATTTAGCTCTGACTCCGTGCTGTTTCCCACGTGGCTGGCTTATATTTTACCAGCTTCAAGCTGGCAGGCTCAGTGCTGTTTGCACCTGCCTGTGGAAATGTACCCAGGAGTCATCAACACTTTAGGGAGCTTGAGAGATAACAAAAATTTCTGACATATATGAAGTAAAAAAACTGGAAGAGAAATGCTTCTGAGTTAAATCTACCCGAATTAAAGAAAAAAGTCGTAAGTGCTGTGAAAAACTGAACAAGGACTTAAAAATAAGGGCAAAGTGAATGAAGACCTTCACACAGGTTTAAGAAATACTCTGAGCTAATGATTGTTTTCCTAAAATAGACTAATGACTGAAATTTCTGCAGCCAGTGCAGTTTGATTCAGTGTGAAAATATGCTTTGCTGTGCAAGGGATTGCCGGAGCAGCGGGTGGGATAACCCTCTCCATGTCTGCCTTTGTGATGGGCAGAGCAGAGGTCGAGGCACCGGGAGAGTCCCTCTCATTAGGGAGGCTGAAGGACAAGGGACACGACAGCTGTCCTGGAAAGCCAGCCTGTTGTTAATCTACATTAGTTTCTGCAATGAGCTGAAGTGAGTTTCTTTCCGTCCTTGGTTGCAGACCAGCTGTAGAGGTACCTCAGCAGTCTCTGTGACCAAGGCATCAGGTGGATGATGCAGAGAGCCGTGGTCGTCATACATCTACCTTTCCTCTATGTAACCCATTTTTCTCACAGATAAGGAGAAAACCATTAAGTGCATCGAATCTCCACACAGCACACTGAGCGGTACAACTGCTGGTTAAACCTTGCTTTCATTGCACAATTCAGGCAGAAGAGGATTGATCTTTTTGACCTCAGAAATAAAATTAAAAGGGTTCTCCTTTGGCTTGTCCCAAAGCTGCAGTGACACGTGCATCTCAGTTAAAATCCTTGGACGCGGGGTTGAGGTGCCCATGACCCAGGGAAGCTCTGCCTCCGGCTGCCAGGGGAAAGGCCAGGCTCCAGGTCGGAGGAGCGAGAAGGTCTGCGGCACAGAGCCATGCAGGAAAGGTCAGGCTGGAGGCAGAGAGGGCCGCTGCTGGTTGAGATGAGCGTGAGCGACAGCTCGAGGATACAAGAAGAAAACTACCCGACGTGAAAAGGTACAAAATCCTAAAGAAAATCTGGTGCTGGAGGACAAGAGTTTGGTACCAGTGGGGACCTGTTGTAGGAAGCAGCAGGGTGGACCCTTGGCCACCTGATTGATGCCTGCTGGCCTGTGGGGGCTCTTTGGGTGTCTGCCCCTGGAGCGCTGAGCGTGCTCAGGCTCAGCCTCTCAGGCTTTCTTGACTTTTATCTGCGTTAACTTCAAAACAAGAGGTTTATGCTTTCAGGTTGAGCGTCTCCTGCATGCAGGGTCTGCATGCGGTAAAAAGTGCCTGAACGAAGTGACCCGTCCCGGGTCGCTGGGCATTTGAGACACTGCCTCTTGAAACGCGGTGCTACCCTGGGGCTGGTTTTGCCTCTAACAGGCAAAGAAATGACAGGGAAGGAAAAGTTCATTAATGGCTGGATAAACAATAAATGCTTACCACTCATATCTTTAAAATGAGTTCTTGGAAAATTTTGGGTGGGGCTCTGAAACCAGGTAGCATGCCAGCTCCTTCCGGCAGGACACGGGAGCCTCCAGGCTGGGGTCAAACCCACTCTGCATAAAACCGAGAGGTTTTGGATTTTCCAGAATAGGCTGCTATTCCTACCGAGCCTTGTAGAACTGTTTTTTCAGTTTACGCAGAAGTTGTTTTTCAGCTGTGAATGGTAAAAAATCTAGTGTAGGACAGCATGCAAACAGAAAAGGCCATAAAGCAGCAGGAACAGAGCGTCGAGGGACAAGACACCTGAAGCTGTTTGGCTTCTGAAGAGTGGGTAAGCATAGAAAATGACACAGTGGCTGCTCCAGGAAACAAAAGTGTGCCATAGGGTGCCATTAGTGATCATCAATCTTGCAGATGAAGTAGTTTTGATTTTGAAGAGTCACACAGAGATAACGTGATGGCTCTTGAAAAGTCAAAGCTTATTTATTTCTTAGCTCCTCTCTGAAGTCAGGGGGACCCTTCCTTAAAAGGACTGTGTTGTCCCTGTGTGCCACAGCTCGTTAGCACGAGCCATAGGCTGCAGTGGAGGGGATATATATAATATGGGTGCCCAGTGCTGGGGGGATGAAGCAGTACTGGGAATTTTTTTAACGATGCTTTCCTCCTGTGGCCAGAACTGTGATTCCTCCTGAGACAAACAGCTTCATGGTTTCTTCTGGTGATACGTTCAGGAGCAGACAGGTGAGATGAGAAATGGTTCTTGGGGGGCACGCAAATTCCTCAAATACCACTTTTCTTGCAGAAAAGCACAGACTCTGAGGTATACAAAAAGCTGCAGCCTCGGTCAATGCAATACGTGTAACTGGCATGATGAGCTCACTCAACAAATTCATGTGAAGAGCCCACAATCAGTTTTGAAATACTCCAAAGGGTGCGAGAAAGGCAAAATCCCTGCCTCCTCTTGCTTATTATAGCCCTGCTGCCCATATGTGCCTTGTCCGCAGCCAGTCAGCAGGCAGGAGGGAGGGGCAAAGCCTATTTAAAACTTTCGTAAGGGGCTGCAGCCCCCCCTTGCCTGCGGCGGCTGGGAGAGGACCACGCGTGGCCACCTACCTGGAGCTGCCCGCCCGCGCGAGGATGCCCATCTTGGGACTGGGGACCTGGCAGGTACCTGCCGGAGCTGGGGACCTCTCCTCGTCCCCGTGCCTCTGGTCACGCAGGTGACACCAAGAAATCGCTGAGAATCGCGGTAGACTTTTACAGCCATCTCCTCTTCAGGTCAGGAAAATGCAGCAAATCCTCTGAGCAGCGTTTCTTGCCTTTTGAAATATTTCAGGTATTGCAGGTATTTACACCTGTCCTTCCAGACATTTGTTAAGTGAGCTCGCTTAGCGCAGGTAGAAGGAGATTTTTTCTTAGCTATGGAAAAAACGACATACTACGAAAGTAAAAACTTCTGCCTAGCTTGTTTTTTTGCTTTGGCACTGGGTATTAATATCCCAGCGTGTCCCAACTCATGGTTGATGAGTGCAGTTAGAGATAGGAACTTAAGTGGCAATCAGTGGATTTGGAAATGGGGATTTATATTAACTCCTTAGAGACTGAAAATTATTTATTTGTATGGCAGCAGATAAGTCCATAGCACTTAGCAGGAAAATAGTTTGGGTAGGTCTTTACCTGCAAATGTTATATAATGGACTTTTGGTAAGACAGAATATTTCAGGATATACTGAATTATAAATGTAAAAGGAGTCTGGAAATGAGCTGAAAATTTTAAGAAAGTGAGCTTCTTAAGAAAGAAGCTGGATTTGAGACTGGAGATGAAATATGTTGAATTACAAGCTGCCAAGTCCATGAAGCACTGTCCAGTCAGCATAAAATTATCTTAAATTATTCTTGCTCTATTTTTTGGTCAGCTGCTGCTAATTATCATATCATTTATGCACAAATGGGGCTGAGTTTGTTTAACCCTTTCAGTCTTGATCGGTCTGAGGACAAAAGACACTGAGAAGCCGAAACTAAGTAAGTAGGCTTTAAAAAACCAAAGTGTGCCTTGCCTGGGGCCTCTTAGGGCACTGGCGCGGTGATGGGTGAGCTCTCTGAAGGAACCTGTTGGGACACCTACAGGAACCCATTAGGACTAAACAGAAGGAAAATTTTGGACACATGATCCCTGCCACCACAAAAATCTCTTACTTAATCAAAGGTATTCGATCTCAAGGTTCCCACAGCAACTTCAGCCGCGACTCCCTGGGTTTCGGTGCGGCGATGGGGCCTCTCCTTTACCCAGTCACTCTGGCTTGAAGTCCTGTTCAGCGAGCACCATGTAAAATGAAGTAATGGATTATTTTTTCTGAAAAACATCTCACATTACAGAGTTTCGTGTAATCACAGGGTATTACTGTCACCCTTGCTCTCCACCGACGACGACTCCGCTCAAAAGCAATGCAGATCATTCCTGGCTGTGGGGCTTTTTTTCCCCCCGAGAGTGCTCGCTCCTGCACAGCAGCTTTCCCGTGCCGCAGCAGCACCCAGACATAGGGTACTCTGTGACGTCTGGCGTTTGGTCGGCGTCGCCGTTAGCCTGCTTTCCCATGGAGCTGCAGCGTTCACACACAGGGAGGGGTGGGATGGGGAAAGGGGCTGCAAAAAGGAAAACTTGTAAAACTTTAAACTGGCTGTGTGTAGCCTTGTGGAAAAAAATGCTGCAGTTTCTATGTTTTTTTTTTTTTTTTAGTTAAGTGAACCAACCTAGCACCCTTCGATTGGAAATAATTGGAGAAGCGCAATCATCATCAAAAAAAAAGATGATGGGTGAGGATATAATGAAGTTAAACGTAGGAGGTGGTCGCGGTTTTGAATCATGTTTCTGTTTGAAGTGCCATTTTCCAGAATCGTATCCAGTCATCAAACAACTCTTCAGTGTCTCCGAGCCAAGAACCTGAAGTGATTTACTTTGCTATTAAATACCAGATTGTGTATTTTACCCAGGAGGTGGCACTGTCCGTAGCTTTTTGCCGTCCTCTCACCTCCCCTGTCCTGTGTCAACAAGAGCCGGCTTGTTTGTGTGCAGGGCCAGCAAGCCTTCCAGAGGCGATTCATTTCCTCATGTCGCCAGTATCTCATACTAAAATTGCTTTTACTTTCTGGGCAAATTAGAACTGATTTCACGATAGCCTGGTGTCCGAATGTGAATGTGCAATCCTTAAAAAAGGGCAGATCAGCTCAGGCAACTCCTCAGTGACTCCCATGGCCGGTTCCAAAGGGCTAATTTTATTCCAGAAAACTAAACAAAAGCAATATCCAAACTGGAACACCTCATTATTTGTGAGTTTAAAGTCTCCAGATTTGCAGGACAGCAAACTTCTTTTTCTGCTATTTACCAAATTACTGACTTTTCTTCTTGTTTCAGTCTCTCCAAGGAACAGCGAGAGACGCAGTGAAGTTTGCCATTGACGTTGGGTCCCGCCACTTGGATTGTGCCTACCCGTACCAGAATGAGATCAGGGATGTACTACGAGAAAAAATTGAGGTGAGGGTTGCGAGGCGAGAAGGCCTCTTTACTGTCAGCAAGGTATGTCCTTGGGTAACTTGTCTCACATGAGGCCAGTTCTCAGGAGGAGCGACAAGGTCCCAAGCTGCAAAGTGCCAGAGGATGAAGCTGGTCTGGGAATTAATTCCTTTTCCTGTCAGGGCAAAGCGTTTTGCAGATGGAGGGAAGGAAGAGGTCAACTCTTGAAAAAAAAATGGCTTGATTTGAGAGGGATTTTTTTGTAGTCCATATCCATTGTCAGCCATGGAGACAGGAACTGAGGCCGTGCTCTCAGTTGCCTCTGAGATCGGAAGCAGGGCTATTGTATTCGTGGTCGCTCCCGCTGCGCTGCCGGCCTCAGCCTGTTAACTCCTGTATGTTATGTTTTGTTTTGTTTTTTCCCCCAACAACAATGGTAGGAAGAATAAAGTAACTTCTATCTGCTGGAAGCTGGTGAGTCGATTTTCACCAGTTTTGCTTTTTTCCTTTCTTTTGTTTAATTGTTGTATGAATCGTTGGAATTTTAGAGTATCTCATTCTCATGTTACTTAACTGACAGTATCGCAAATAAAATAAGGTGCACAAAAGTGGCACTTCCTCAAGACGAGAAGATGAGCCATACCATGAGCTGCCTCTGTGTCTGCACCATGTGTTTCCCTGCCAGGGATGCTCTGCGGTCACGAGGAGAGCAGCTCCCAGGCTTTGTGTTACCCCCACGACTTGTGGTCCACCTTCCACGAGAGATCCCCGGTGAAGGAGGCATGCCAGAGAACACTTGCTGCCCTCCAACTGGATTGTTTGGATCTCTACCTGATGCACGGGCCCACGGGATTCGAGGTATTGAGACTTCAGCTCCTGGGAGCCATCTGTCAGAGCTCTGCCACCTTTTCCTTTGGGTCTGGATATGCCCTTAGTCCTCTCTAATGAGGAGCGTTGTTAAACCTCATTAGGACATAATGACAAACCTCTGCATGGAGTGCCCTGGAGGAAAGGTAAGGTCATGGCAAGCTAGGTCTTGTAGTACAAAAATCCCTTTATTTTACCCTGCACAGCATTTCCATACCATGGGTCAAATTACCATCCAGATCACATTCCTCTGAAAGTCTGGGATTTGGCTGTCATTTGCTTATCCAGGATCAAACAGTTGTGAATTACTTAGTTCCTATTCTTCTCTTCTCTCTCTACCCCCAGGTTAAATAAATCCTCGTTTCCCCATCGTGTCACATCTCTGGCCTTCCCCCAACCTGACTGAGGCACATAAAAGTGTCTGCCCTTCCTCTGCCTGCAGGACAGATTCTCAAGAAGCAGATTTTCTTGAAGATTACTCTGTTCATACAGATTACTGGATTTGGCCACCTCTCTCCCCAACACAAACATAAGCCAGGATATCCAGCGTGTCTCCAGCTCCAGCTAAATTGTAGAATTTATAAGTGATTTCTTTAACTACTTACGATTCAGCCTACCTTAAACTTGCTTTTCTTTTGTGATGATAGGGAGGAGAGGAGCTATTTCTTGCAGATGGAAATGGCAGGATCACTCCTAGCAATACAGATTTTCTGGATACATGGAAGGTACAGTCATTGACAGGCCGAAAAATTCTTGCTAGTTTGAAATAACAGCCTTTAAGGTTTCCACTTTGGGAATCGTTCTGAGAGAATTTCCGATGTGCAGTATTCCAGATTGCTGATTTCTCTGTGCCCTTGGGCTCCTTCTTGTGTTACTTTGCCAAAATTGAGCTATTTTTATGTTTACTGCTTACTAAAGTGTCTGGGTGGGCATGGCAAGAGGAAATCTTTGACTGTGTGTGTACCCTGCAGTGGCTTGAGCTGACATACGCTGTCGCTTCAGTCCCCACACCGCTCTCCGGTTGCTCATGCTCATCCCTAGTTGCACCTGAGCTGTCCAGACCACAGCAAAGCCAACATGCCTGTGCCAATGTACCCACAGCATCCAAAATTAGAAAGCACTGGAACTTGCCCAAAGTCCATCGCTAAAGCCGTGTGCAACGCAAACAGACATGAGCACAGGCTGTGTGGGAGACAAGACTTGGGTGCGAGTTCAAATTTCTGCTTGGCTGATGGTTTGGGCTCCCTTTCCCCTCCACCCCCACCCGCTGCTCAGCATGGCCAGGTCGAAAGAGGACAAGAGACTCACCAGTCATAAGAATTCGCTGATGCTTTTTCTCTTCTGTCAGATGAAGAGTAAGGCACATTTTTGTTGCTCATTTGAAGGAAAGAAGTGGACATTTCAGGCTGCTGCTTATGGCAGCAACTTCAAATAAAGATGATTTCTGCTTTGGAAGAGATGTATCTTCTGCTCTAAAGGCTGGTAGTAGATTATTTTCTCCTGTTTCTTTTCTGCTGGAGGTGCCAACCTAATTAGGGCTGTCTAGCTGCTTTATTGTTTGCCAGTGTGAAAGAAAATAGGTGGTGGTGGGGGAACACAGCACTGCTTATACTAGACTGCCACCGCTAAATGGTACATCTCCCTTGGGAAATTAAGCGGTGTTGTTGATCAGTTATCCTGCCCTAGCTCTCCCAGAACAGCTCCTCGTCGAGCTGCTCTGTTCCAAACGACAAGCTTTTTATTATGGGATAATTATTTTGTTAGCTGAGGAATTATCCTGAAAAAACCCTTTTCTTTTGGAGCAGAAGGTCTACTTGGGGATAATATTTCAAAATAATTGTCTTTTACTGAAATAATCATAGTGTAATAATTGTTAATCTTGAATAATGCTGTTATTTATTTGTATGATCATACATGACGTGAGAGACCGTGTCTTTGACCAGGGTCCCACCGTTCAATGTGCTGTACTAAGGCCACATCAGAAGAGGATCCCAGCCATGATGATTTTTACCGTTGAAGTCTTTGCACGGACATTTTCTCCATACGAAAAAAAAGATCTTAATTCAGTAGCAAGTCTGGTTCTGTAGTGTTTCTAGGCTATGGAAGAGCTGGTGGATGCGGGAATGGTGAAGGCCATTGGAGTCTCCAACTTCAACCGCAAACAGATAGATCGGCTCTTGAGCAAACCAGACTTAAGACACAAACCCGCAAATAATCGGGTAAATTATTCTCAAACTCCTCAGCACTGACGTCACGCCTGTCTGGGGTGTTGCATCTGATGGAACATCTCTGGCAGTGAAATAGCTTTTATGTCAATAGCTTTTTGATACCTGTGTGAGAATACACCTGTATTTGGCTAAACCATAAAGTAATGAAAAACGCAGGACATTCTGTGCCCTTCCTTGCGCGGGAAGCTGCAGTTACACAAGCCCACGGGCTCCTGGGTTGAAATTCCTGCCTTCACCTTTCTTCTGACTGCAGCAGGGAGCTCCTGCAGGCTGAGAGCTGAGCTCTGCAACGGAGAACGCGGCGGGGCTTACCCTCCTCCTTTCCTACAGCCCCGGTGCTTGTCCCAGCAGCTAAGGAAAAAGAGGCTGCGTGAATAGCTAGGACCAAAGCCAGGCTACACTGCTGGGGTGAATAGGTAGGACTGGATGACATGAGAGTCAGGTGCTTCAGCTGGATGTAGACAACTGGACCTCGGAGCCCGTTCATACGGGGACTGTGAGAGGTCATGAAAAATGAGGCAGGCAGCTGGAAGGAAAAACTAGTGTATGAAGACTGGGCCTTGTTGGAAGCAGGGTTGGGTAGAAGGGGAAACGATCTGAAATACTGGCTGACTCTCTTAAAAACCCCATAGCTGCGAAAAGAACCACCTTTTCAAAGCTGATGTGGGGCTTGGTAGGTCACCATAGTGATGCTAAACCTTGAAGTACCTTCTGCTTCTGAAGAAACCTAATATTTTTGTTTGTAGACTGGGCACCACCCCGTCTTCCTCAGGAAGAGCTGATTAAGTTTTGCCAATCCAAAGGGATCTCTGTCACTGCATATTGTGCCCTTGGAGCGCCCAACTGGCCATGGTAAGGATGCTTTGTGAGACTTCTTTCTTAGACGTAGTAATACAGTAAACCAGTCTTAGGATGTGGATAAACCCTTATAGAGTAAAACTGATGTAATTAGAAAAATATTTACTAATTTGTTAAAAATCACACACACAGAGAAACCTCTCTCATGCTTATTGTGATATTCAGTCCACTAACTCATACCCGTGCTGTTACTGGAGAAAAAGGATCAATTGGTTGGTGAAAGTAGTGAAGATAATTCTTAACTGAGCTTGGGTGAGCTTATTAAACATGTAAGAGAACTTCTGAACTAAAAAAAAAAAAAAATAAAGCCGCACATGCTTACGAAAATAGTAACTGCAGTCCTGCTGAGACAAATGAATTAGGTTTTTAAATGGATGACTTGAAGAAATTTTGCTTTTACTCCAATCTTCATGGCTTTCTCTGACCTGGGACAGGGCATTTACCAGAGCAACTGTGCTTGCGAAGGACATGACAGCTGCCCATTCTCAAGATGACATTTTCGGGATTTGGACCAAAGAAATTCCCGGCCTGATCACAGGCTGGACTGAAATGTGTTACAGTGACCTGTTATACTAGAAACTACAGGCCTCTTCTCGTGTGCCAACCTGCAATGAAAGGAAAAGAATGAAGGCAAGGACTGGAGCAACGAGAAGATGGTGAATTAAAGTGTGCGAGATGATGCTTTCTTATCATTTAAATAATATTCTTACACCAAGAGCTTGAGGGAGAAGACAGTGGGCCATTCAACTGCTGAAGTCTGCTTTTTATTTTCACAAATCCAAGCATGAGGATATTTCCCTTTTTGATGATCCCCAAATTAAAGAAATAGCACTCAAGTACAACAAAACCCCAGCTCATGTTGATACTGGTCAAAGTATTTTCCCTGGTGACATGTGTTTTTCCTACTTGTGCTAAAGTAACTATTTACAGAGGTATTATGGAAAGCTGAGTTCCAGCTGTGTCTCATACACATTGTAATGCTTTAAAAAGTATTATCTCTAACACCAGTTTTAATGACGGACAGAAGATTACCAATGGCTTTGGGCTTTAATTGGCATGCTAGCACAGCATCCCTGGCCAATCCTGAACTTTTGTTCAATGCACTCCCATGCTGTCATCTCAACTTCAAAGACCGATAATGATTAAATGAGCTCATGTAATAATTAGGAAGGGTTTACTATAGTGCTTTTCCTATGTGAGCCATCTCTGATTATCAGTAGAGCTGTTCCATGTAACCATGCAGGCACATACAGTTTTCAGCTTTCAGAAGACAGGCAGAACTTCTCAGCTGTAACTCCCTATCTGTTCCTGCAGGTGCTTATCTATCTCCAGATTCAAAGAAATGCGAGTGTAATTCCCAAATCTGTCAGTCCACACCATATTAAGGAAAATTTTAAGGTGATAGTGTATCTTACAAAATTCTTAATGGTGTTATCTGGCTCCAGATTCAAAGAAATACGAGTGTAATTCCCAAATCTGTCAAGTCCACGCCATATTGACGAAAATTTTAAGGTGAGAGTGTATCTTACAAAATTCTTAATGGTGTTAAACGCTTACACAGAAAAATCCATTCTGCCAGTGGAACAAAGTACTCCCTTCATAGTCAGAACCGGGAAAAAACCTTTTGTCTGTCAGATACCATGTAGGTTATTTCCTTATGAATGCAAAAAGTTACTTTAAAAGTAAGGAGCCAAGTCTCCTTCGTTAGAACACATCAAGTAAAAGAGACTAACTTTTCCCCCTTGTGATATAAATACGATGCAAATAGACCCCACCAGCACTGTAACTTTATGACATTTTTTCATTGTTCACCACAAATGTCCATCCATTGCACACTTCCTAGTGCTTCAACAAATACAACGCTTTTCTACTTCTGTTTTCGGTATTCTTTCTGCAAATGATCTTACACTTATCTTTTTGCAAACTGAAGTAACCCAGCTGTTTGGGACCTTTATTCAGGTGTTTGACTTTGAATTGGCTAAAGAGGAGATGGAAACCTTCCTTGCTTTCAAGAAGCGGTATCGCATCTGTGCATTAAGTGAGTTAGTACCTCCTCCTCCATGTTTTAGCAAGATTGGATTATCATTGGATATCCTCTTAACAGACAGTATTTGATAGCCCCACTCAAAAATAAAAAGAGAGGGAACCTTCATCAATACCCGGTCACATCCGTATCTGCTGGAATCCAGCACTAGGGTTTATTAGAGCACTGCCCATCTTATAGAGGTTGGTAGCATTGGGATTTTTGCAGGTACGTTGTGTGTTAAGATATCTTGTAACGGATACATACCAAACTGCTGTCTGAAAATCTAAATCGGCTGGAAACTCCAAAACAAATAGGCGGCAATTTTTTTTACTGTTTTCTTTGGTTGCTTTATATAAGACAGTCAGTGTAAATAAACTCCATTTTAAGAATGAGAGTTGTAAGTTTTTTTGAAGTGAAAAGCTGTGCCTACGTATTTATGCCAACGTTATTAAGGCAGCGTCTAGATAATAGAATGGTTAGATACAGACTTACCAAGATCTGCAATTTATTCTGTTTTCCCAGGTTACCCACTTATCTAATCACATACTGCGGACTTCGGAGTTCACAAAAGAGCAGTTTAAAATATTGCAGGGAAGTTTGGCGATTTCAGCTAAGCAAAAGATACACTGTATTTTGAGAACAAGGTCACTGGTATATGCGAAGGTTACAGAGCATTAACTTCCACTGCCCTGCGTATACTAAGCAGACTCACATTAGTGTTTTTACTGTAGTTCACAGTTTTAGTTCTGCAGAGCTTTTGTCAGAAGAAAAGAGCTTTTTCTTCTTAGCCTTAAGACTATATCCTTAAAGTGTTTTAATCATACTCTCTTTTTCTAGATGCAAAAATCACAAGGACTATCCTTTTTTTGGAAGACTAACAGGCATCATCTTCAGATTCTCCAGAGATCAGGACCATATATCATTGTTTCAAGCAATCTGTAATACTTCACGTGTATTAAATCACAACGTAAGTGGACTACGTATTACAAGATTGGACAAGGTAGCTCACAGGCATTCTCAAGAGTAATCTTTGAGCATGCATGTGTTTGCTTCCCTTATTATCAACCACAGTTATATCAGTCCTTTATCTGTATCTTTGCTCTGCTCTTCTGGTAGCAAAATTCTCCGTTATAGCAAAATATAAATTCTCTTATCGTTTAGTAATGATAGTTGAAGAAATTTATAAACCTGAATCTTTGGGATTTGTGAAAAGCAGTCTTTGTCATAAATATAAATCCTGACAAATTTTAGAGAAATTTAGATTCTCCTAATGGTTGTATTTTTGAACAAAAGGTCAAAACACATGCTATCTTTTAGTTGTTAATATAAGACAATCCATTTAACATCAGAAGATCTTTATGAGATAAAACAATATGCTGCTTGAGATTTGTAGTTCAGTAATTTCAGCGTAACAGACTGAAAGCTCTTTAGAGGACACCGCTGAACTGTTTCTCATTTTTCTTAATGAGGTTTCATATTTATGAACTGCTAAAAACTAATAAACTGGTAGGAGATTTGTATATTTGGTTTATCATATCTACAAGAGTACATAAATACTGCCTTTATCAGTATAATGGCTGCAGTTAAGACTGAATCTCTCCCAGCAAATCCAAAGTCTGATAAAGGAGATACAGAGGAATTATTTTGTTTGGCAACTGTCTTATTTAACAAGCAGAAAAGATGGGCAACTTCACAGAAGTCAACGGCCCTCTCTTGTACCGCTCCCTAGATACTGTCTGCTTGTGTTTTGATTCAAAGAATGTCACTGGATGTTGTTTTCTCTGGTAAAAAAAGTCAGTGCTACTGCAGCCCATGCATCTGCTGGAGTTTTAATGAGGTGTCTGTTAATCAAGACTTCTTGCTCTTGAACTCTAACACGTGACTCAAAACTCCTGTAATTGCGTTAGGCTCTTTCAGCCCAGTAGAAGAACAATGTGGATTAGAACTGCCTGCAGAGAGGAAGGATGATTGTGTAATTAAGGTTCAGGGCTAGGATACACACTTCATGGATATCCTTTTCCAACTGATTTTCTTTGTAGTTGAGGTTTTTAAGTCTATAAAGGAAATGATGACACATCTTTGAGCTACTTTAGACTTTTGCAAGATGTTTGAATAAAGGTGCCCTAGAAATGGCAAAGCAATTCTGTCAAATTGGATTTCCTACAGCAGTTTTTCTAAAGAAAGAGGTCTGAAAAGCCTATCAGCCATTGACACCAAACAGCAATAGTGCAGTGGTATGGACAGGAAGGCACCTGTTACAGGTGCTTTCTTTTTTTCCTCCCCCGAACATGCTAAATTGAAAAGGTCAGTTACAGGATATCATCATAGCCGCAGTTAGAAAACGAGCTACATGGCAGGTGCTGTGCTTCCAGGCATTCAGACTGTGGTCTGGTTGTCCATCTACAGCAGCAGGAGCAACACCCACTTAAGGCTGTGGCATACAGCCTATCTTGAAACATTCTCTACTTCACAGGAATTTTCTAACAACATTCCAATTTAATCACAGTTATCAGACTTGAAGTTATTTACAGGATGTTTATAGACTGTGGTAGGCAGGAAGTTGGACTAGATGATCACAGTAGCCATATAATAGTAAAAAATTCAAAACAAGTTAGAAGCCAGAGATTGTGCATTTGTTTAGAGACAATGGATTTTTTTCAGCTGCAGCAACTTTAGCAAAGGTAAAAAGAGAAAAGTCTGGGCGATATCAGTTACTGCAAAATAAAGTACCTTCTATTTTGCAGCAGAGCTAGAGCCATATGACTTAAAGACAGCGTGTGCCTTTCTAGCAGACCATTGCTGCCTCACAGCAATCACAGCAGCCTACGATGGCAGTAGGCTATAAGCTATAAGCTTATAGCTGTAAGCTGCTCAAAAAGCACACTTCCATAGCTTCACCACTTCACTTACCCCAACACATGTGCTGCAAGGGAATTGTTCTAATTCCATCTGCTATCTATAGATAAGAAATTACTAAGCATGATCTCCCCTGTATTTGGTTTTGAGGATTCAAAAAAATATTTTGGCATCTTTTGGTTTTTTGGTTTTTGTTTTTGGTGGTGTTTTTTGGTTGGTTTTTTTTTGTTTGTTTGGTTTTTTTTTTGCAATTTCAGACTTTGCTTTACAAGAAAATAAAAATTGCCATGATAGGCTAGGGTGGAGACTTGGGCTTGTTTTACTGCTGTTGTAAATTCAGTTGACTAAAGAAGAGCAAGTGTTTTGTTGGTCAAATCACTGCAGCAGAAGAGAGGAATAGACAAGCTGCAACTGTCTTCTAAAGAGTTTTATTTGTTCCACCAATGCAGTGACCTGCAGCAGAGATCACTGACACACTGGAACAAGTGCTGGAAACTTTCTAATCTTCAGATTCATTTGAACCCTGTGTTAATAAGCAAGTGTATACTGATGGCTATTTAACCCACTCCTTTTTCTGTGGTTGTGACTAATTCAACTGCATGCTGCTACCTGGGTAGCCTCAAGGTACACGCAGTGACAGTCTGTCTTCACATAATTTCAGTGGCCTGTGGAGCATTTGTTAGTTACTAATCACCAGGCTGGATGATGTCTAGCACAAGGAGCAGATGTGCAAAAGGCCACAGGTCTAGCACTTCATAGACTTGAAAAGACCAAGGCCATCTCATAAAGCCAGGAGAGAACATGCCATGCTACAAACAAAATGCTTCAGGAAAAGAAGATGAGTATTCTCCCAGTGTCAGACACAGCATAGACAGGCTCGAGTCACCAAGCTCTAGGGAGCAAAGTAGTCCTTTCTTGAAGGACTAGCAGCTTCTCTTCCTGTGTGCCTACTTCCTCAGCAGCATAATCATTGGCATTCTGTTGGAACTACAGCAAGAGGTTTATGTTATCCCCAAATAATTTTAAGTTTCCATTAGCTGTGTAACAGTGCTCTTAGACCAAACCCGCAGGTACATCTTTCCTAGTCAGCAGTGAGATTATCTGTGCCACTGGACTGAACCCAGTAAATGGAAAACACGTTAGCTTAGCATTTTGCCTTTGTATAACAGCATGTTGTCCCATGACTTGAGCTTTTATTGTGCAGTTTATCCATTCTGCTATAGTCAGGCCTTCATTAAAAGTTCCATAGGGGCTAGGTGAAAAAATGAAGTGTTACATCCATGTTTTAGAGGGAAAACAGGGTAACATAGGTTATGAACAATAGGTAAAATTCAAAACTCTTTGCTGATCATTGCTACTCAGGTTTTCCGTCTATTATAGTTCCAAGCTTTCTCATATTGAGGTCAATATAATTCAAAATGAAAGAAACAATAAGATAGAGACTCATTCCATGAACTTTTTGCATTCAGTCCTGCACAAAAAGTTCTGGTCCATGCCTTCCTCTGTATCCTAAAAAAGGTTTATAGAAGACTGGCTAGGATGACCAACGGCATGGGAATAATTTCTACAGGCAGCAATTAAGTAGGCTAAGACTTTCCTTGACCAGACACCAGCACAGGGAGCTAGGCCAGAAGTCTACCAAATCTGGAGCAGCTTGGAAAGTGTGACTGGAAATAGACCAGTTTCTACCTCCTCCACTTTAAAACCAGGAGCATCAAATGAATCTAGCAGAAGACAAGACCAAAACAAATAGATAGCAATTCTTCACAAGATGTGTGTTTATGAAAAATCATTCCCTTGGAATGCAAAAGATTCACAAAATAACTGAACAAGAAAGAGTTAACTGACAGCCATTAAACACGAAAGACCTTAAACTGCTGTCAGAATATTTAAAGAACACACAACTGCAATGCTCAACTTATTAATCTTCAACAACTTGTTTTGGCCACAGTTGGAAACAGGATGCTGCAGAAGGTGGATATTTAGTCTGATTCAGTTCAGCTGATCTTATGAGTAGCTGTCAGCTGGCTTATAATTAGGCTTGTTTCAGTTCAGAAAAGCTAAATTGTATATTCAGCTTGATTTTTTTTTTTTTTTGCTTAAGAATTTGGAAAAAAGATGTAGTTTTGCAGATTTTTGTACTAGTGGTCCTGTACCATGCACTTTAACAAATTAAAATGCAAGAGCAACATTGCCTACGGAAGAATTTTAAGAGTTGCCTCTCAGCTTATATGAGCAAGGTCCTGCCAGAATAAGGCAGGGCTCCGTACTTTTTAAGTGATCAAGGACAAGGCAGAGGGAGGGATGACAAATAGTTACTGACAGAGTTTACAGATGACAAACTAGGGGAGTATTAAGCGATTAAAAAGATAAAATCATTTGTCCTGAGTCAGCTGTTCTGTCATAGACTCCAGATTTCTAGTCATATCTTCAATACAGTGAATACAGATTAAAAATCCAGCTACAGGATTTTCTTTTCCTGTTTTGAATACTGTAGTTTCCTGTGCCCCAGATTTCACAACTCTGCACAAATGTTACAGTATGCACTTGTGTCAGTCTCATGAGCTCAGTAAGAAGAGAGATCCTGCTTCCCCTTTCCCAGAGAGAAACAAAAACCAAGTTACAGAGCATCATATAAAAAGTGATTCCAGCCAGGCAGGCTTGTGTATTTATGTTCCAGTATCAGAAGTCAAGCCATTTTCTCCCAAAAGAACATCAACTGCAACCTGAAACATACTGTGCCTGTAAGACTATGTGTCTTGGCAAGATACCAATTCCAGCTGCTTCTTGTATTCTCCTCTACTACCCAAAAAAATTCTCAGAAAAGGTCTCTTGCCTTATCCAGTGAGATAATTGCCAATTTTCTCTACCTGTTTTTCCTGATAAATCAGTTCACCATCATTCTTTGCTACTATGGAAATGGATTTGTTCTGTCAGAGCCATTTTCTTTTAAGATGAGAGAGTCCTGCTAATCTGGTATCATTGGAAGCAGTGAGAGTGCAGCTGGAAGTGAAACAAATTTTGACTGCAAGTACCAATTCTATGGTACTGAGAACATGGACTGCTCTTAATCTTTCCTGTAGGCTGGACTCCTCTTTCTAGGGTGTGCTACAGTATCACGCTAGCTTAACTGCTGCAGCAGAGTCCTGAGAAAGTCTAGTAAGGGAGGCCAACAAGGTGGAGCTGAACTACAAGTTCTTAAATCAAAAACATAAAACAAAAACAACCACTTTTCATTGGAAGAGCTACAAAATTATATTTGTCCTTAAAGGTTTCTTTGATCAGAAACCCAGAGATCTGTCAAATCACAATACAAAAACAAATGCTGTGAACAGTTGTAGCAGGAAGAGCTCAGTTAGCAGGTATGCTAGCCTCCGGATATCTAATTCTTTGATCTTTCCACTTTACCTTTTAGAAGATGAAAGGAAATCTCTACCCTTGTAGGCAAAGAGTGTGGCACAAGTATGGGGGTACAACAGCCATTTATTTTACTGTAACAATCCCCAGATCAACCTAGATTAAATGGCTGCAGTCTAGAAGACTGGCTCTTCCTGTATCTCAGCCTTATTTAATTGTATCTGGCCTTGAAGAAGCAATCCAAAATCATTATGGGTGACAGGGTTTTCTATCACTCCCTTCCTTCCCACTCCTCATCCTTTCTGACAACAGCCTGCTTTCTGTTCAAACTTACGCATCTTTGTCCTTCACTCAGGTGCTTCTCTGTTTTTCCGCTATTCCCACTCATATTTCACCAGCATCCAAGCCCTCTCCCAGTTAAGTGCTGCACTGTGTCCCAGAACAACCCCTTCCAAATTCTTTCCTGCTAAGTCATCCAGTAAAATACAGAGAGCGCCTGTTACAATACCACTCCACCCTGAATGCTAGCTAGTCTTTCTTCTGCTGTGGAGCAGTCTGTCGAAAGTCTCTCCAGTAAAATTCCTACTCTGAGAATGGAAAATTTCAGGCACAAACTTTCGTAAAGATACAGTGAAATGAAAACAGAGGAAGTTAACAGAACCTGATGTACTATTTTGGAAACCCTGACCCTCAATGTAACTTCTTGCCAAGACACACTTGTCACAAAAATGTTATTTCCAAGCAAGTCAACATTGCCCCAAACAGTTTTCTGTCACACCTCAGACTAACCTAAGAATATTAGCTGTTCTGCTTTTTTTTTAGATGCCTTTGGGCTTTTATTTATTGCATTATAGACATACAAAAACACTTGCAGAGCTGAAGCTTTTTGTATTTCCTTTTAAGCCCATAATTTAAAGTGATTATAATAAATTTATGTTAGGAGAATCAGCGTTAGAGGATAATATTGCTTAGAGTCAGACGTTGACTCTCTCCTCCCTCCTCCTAGCGTTGTAAAGTTAACTCAATCTTGTCTGTTCAACCTATTGTAAATTATTCTGACCAAAAACATGTTGCATGTAAAGTCTGGCCTCAGCTATAGTGGAAAGATAAAAGCAGCATTCGAAGATAACAAAATCTGTTTTCCTCAATATAATGGTTAGTATTTATCAGAAAGAAAAACTTTAAATTAGTATGACTCCTTAGTACCTTTTTATCAGTACCAGGAAACAAACCACCTACTCGGCAAATAGTTTGAGAACAACTGCATTCGTGGTGCATTTTAATGTAGCCGAGTTCCCTTTAAGGTACGCTATGCTATGTGGAATCGGAATCCTACCATACATTTACCATTCAGGGGTGGTTATGCATTAACAGTTCTGGTGTCTCCCTTCTTTCATCCATTCAGAAAGAACCCTCCTTCTGCCAGGCCTACACAGTCTCCTTCAGAGGACAGTTCACACTCTAGATCAACTCAGACATTGGAAAAAAATTTACAAGAACACACAAGAGAATCATCCCAACACTAGCCACGGTTTTTCCAAGTGCCCAAATGCATTTTCTGAAGAGTGTTAAGCAGCTCTCAGAAAGCAACAACTTTAAAACCATTACCTGCAAGTATTGTAAAAACCATAAAAACCCCAAGGAACAAACACACCGCAAATATCAAAATTTGGGTATAAGCCTATTTTTCTGTCCTCCCAGAACAGAGTAGTAAGTTTCTGATCTGCTAGCTCATGACACAGAGGTTTCTTGGAAACCCATTTTTACTTTATTTGCAAATGGTTGCTTGTACAAGCACAGCAGTCTTTCCTGCATCATGTGCTGCTTGCTTGGAAAGAGCAAGTTTTCTACTGCTTACTTATTAATCAATCCTATAGGATTCTGAGCAGGCTTAATGTCTTCAATTGAATAAGTTTTCTACTAGCCAAAATACACTATCACTTCAGTACAATAAAGACCGATTTAAACATTAGTATATTAGCTGTCACACATATCAAAACAGCTCTATTTAAAGAGAGGCTCAAGTAGACTCATCAATAGCCACAGGTACATTACAGTGTACATCAATGGCCACAGGTTCCTCACACTCAGGTGTTCTACATGTGCACTAACATGAGAACAGCAGATAGCTAGCAGGAAAAACCTAAGTTCACATCAATATCAGATGATTTCTTGGGGGACAGTAATTTTTCTTGCTTTTGTGTAATGTCTAGAGACAGCTGATATGATACAAGCTACTCCAGCATTACCACCATTACAGCATTGCTGAAATAACCATCTCATTACACACAGTAATGAAACTATATTTTATTATAAGCAAAACCAGCTTTTATATCACCAAGAAACCAGGACCTATACACTTTTCAAAGAGCTACCCATGTAGAAACTGCTGTACTTAGAAATCAACTCGTACTTCCAATTAGAGGAAAAAAAAGCATGGAGTGTTACAAAAAGAAAGAAAATCAAACCCAAAAGTATCAGAAAAAAGCAGACCTCACATTAATTATGTAAAATCTGCCATATCCTGGTCCTTCCAGACAACAATAGTCACTAGCTCCAATTCACAGTATTCCAAAATAAAAGTGACTGCTAGTTCAAACTTTCTCAATGTTTTCTTCTTACCGGTTCCAGACACGCAGTTTGGCAAAGACAATCTACTAGTCCACACAGTGTGCTCTTCAGAACCATTTTAGCATTTCCTTCTTCCAAAAAAGAAAACAACACAAAGTCACAAAGTACATATTCTGCATCTTTGTGAGGGAAAAAATTAAAAAAAAAGGGGGTCTGATGCAGCGAGGAAGCTACGTAGACAACTCATAGGCAACAGCAGAAGCATATCTGAGAAGTCTGGAGAAAGGCAGGAAACTATCTTCAGTATTCCGCATTGAAAGGGTAATCCTTGTGAGTTTTGCACCTGAAGGAAATCAAAGATGAAAGATTATCTCATGTCTGAAAAATACTATATGCAGCTGTAACTACTATAAAGAGCCACCAAGGGAGGAGCTGAACTGTATAAAAGCAGAGTCAATTTGTTTGTCTTCCTTGGTGACATGCTGCATTTGTAAACAGAAAGATTCCTGAGTGCCTCCTGTTGTTCAGGCTCTGACCATTTCAGGTGATAAGACCTAGGTGCTTTGTAGACAACTAATTCAAAGTTTCACTGTTTACTGCCAAGGAGACCTTTTTTGCAGCCTTCCAACAAAGATTTCATATCTGGCTTTAGGCTTCCAAGTTGCAACTCTTTATATTACTTTTTGAGTGTTCACCCACTTTCCCAACCACTCCTGAAGACAGTTTTTATAATATACCTAAAGGTTATGGCAGAAAGACAAAATAAATTCCACAAGCAAAATTAATCAAGAATTTGAGTCTGCATCATGCTCATTTCTCCAATATGGACAAAATAAAAGTTATGAATAAGAAGCCTCCTGTTGCAATTCCAGCTACAAAAAGTTTCTTGGAGACTGAACTGAAAGAAGTTTGCTTTATGCTTATCGTGATTTAGTTCATAACATGAACATTAAAATCTTACTTTAAAAAGTTATTTTGAGAATGACCCCTTTGGAAATTGAGTTTGAATATCCTGAATTTCAACCAAGCGCAGTATCTATAACTTCATATACTAAACTATGACATACTGATAACTTAACAGTTTGAAAAAAAAAACAACCCCAAACCACTGCCACTTACGTGCTCATTGCACAGACTCTCCAGTTTCTATTAAAGCTGAGAATAGCTGCCATCTCCTCTTTAGTCAATTCAAAGTCAAACACCTAAAAACAGAAACAGCTAGAAATCACTTCTCTAAACAAATCAGAGATTGTAAGCAAAATTCACAATATTACAGAACAAGTCCACAGTGTAAGGGTGCTTGTAAGAAGAAATGACTGCTTCATGAAGAAAAGAAAGGAAAAAGCTCTCTGGATTTCTGAGACTACGCTAGCTGGAGCTAGGGAAGGAGGTGAGCAGGGAGAGGGAGGAATTGAAAAAAAAAAATCTCAAGTTGCAGCTACGTATGTCAGTTGTTTTAAGAAGCTTGGAGAGCACTTAGTTTTGCAGAATGTCTCCATCCTCCGTTTGTGAAAGATGCATCTTTTGGTCCTACTCCAAAGGAACATCCACAAGACTTTCATATTCCACCTAATGCAATGAAGTGTCTTCCAAAATCCTAATACTGTTTTGAGTCAAAGACCACTGAATCAAGAGCAGTGACATGGTTTATGGACACCAGGACTATTTTCTTAACAGTGCTTGCTCTACATAAGCCTTTTGTGGTGTGCTACTGCACTCAGGCCCCAAGCAAGCTCTGTCAGCTGATTCATCCACATGACATAGAACAGGAAGCATCACATAATGTGACTGCTACAATTATCAACATGCTGTTTCCAAAAGCTTTGTTCACTCCTGCTTTCCAACTGTAACCTTAAGTTTAGCCCTCAGTAGACCATAAGTAAACATACAGAGAGAAAAAGCCCAGTCTTCTTGCCTAAGGAGGACTTAGGAAGGGCGAGAAAGGATCACTGCTTGCTCTGCAGGGAGAAGCTGTGCCATCCTTGAACATGCCATGCACCCAGGTCACTCCTAATGACTCACCTTGAAGTTCTCCACAATGCGCTGTGGTGTGACAGACTTGGGAATCACAATCACGTTTCTCTGGATGTGGAACCGAATGAGAACCTGCAAGAGGCGTATCACCAAGTCAGAGAGAGGACAGCTTTTGTTCTATGGCAAGCAGAGCCTGTTCCAACAGATGTTTGCTATAAACTGTACAATTCAGCAGAATTAACCCATTTCTGCAGAGCTGCATTTCAAATCATACCTGAATTCTAAGCAGCACTTTCTGAAGTGCAAATACAGAAGTGGTGTAGCTCCATATAGAAGGCCTCCTTTCCCATTCAGTTTAATGATAGTTCCTTTCTTTCCCACCTAGACTTTTAGTAGGCTATACAACGCATGGTTCACCTCTCTGCAACAGGACTTGAGATGGGAAGACTGAAACATGATGGCATCTGAAGGCAGGTCAAGAAAATGTTTCTTGTTGATGGTCAGAGAGCCCTTTCAAGCATACACTGCAGGCCACATAGTAAACAAACCTGCATTGCTATTTATCACCACAGAAGAGCACCACAGTTGATAGGGAATGAAGAGCCAGCCTGTCCTTTACATTGTCATTAGCTGTCCTTTGTTATGTTATGTTACAGGAAGGGGTGCCCACTGCCCAGCACCTACGTACCTGTGCTGGGGTTTTATTGTGCTTGGCTGCAATCTCTTTGATCTTGGGGTCATCCAGAAGGGAAGGATCCTCTGGCTTAGCCCTACATAGAGGAAAGAAGATCAGTAGCAAGAAAACTCCATAAATCCATCCTAGCAGAGATCTGTATCTAGATGAATAATTAATGGTGCACCTGTAGTCTCAAAGTTTCAAGCATAATCCATGCCAGCTCCCTTGTAAAGCGCAAAGCGATCTTACCACGGTCTGTCCGGAGAGCCAAGCGGACTGTATGCTGTCACAGCAATCTCTCTGGATTGACAGTACTTGATCAGCTTCTCCTGGGTAAGGTATGGATGACATTCGATCTGTCAACATAAGAGTACAAAGATTGTCAATCTCTGGATTGACAGTACTTGATCAGCTTCTCCTGGGTAAGGTATGGATGACATTCGATCTGTCAACATAAGAGTACAAAGATTGACAGTGATTTAACTGCTTGAACATGTTCCAGGGACTCATTTTTAATAAAATCAAAGGCTGATTTTTGTTCTAACTTACAGCCTCTGCACGATATTACGCAGCCTTTGTTTTCTGCATGTCCCCACCCCCTTTCTACTATTTATAGTAGTTCTCCTCGCAGTGAAGGGTCCAAGGACTGTAACACCACTCCTTAAAACTTTGCTGATCCATATAATCTCCAACGTATGGGATTACCACATACATAATTACTTAAATGGGACAGTTTAGCAAAATGCACACACAAGAGAACTGTAAAATCATAACAATAGGATAGCAGATCAGTAAGTACAAAGTTCTCTTTCCATCCCTAATTAAACAAGCCATGGTGGTGGCAGGTTTTTTTTGTTTTTTTAACACAACTACCATATTAACTTCAATACCAGTATTGTTTCATTCGGTTTTATTTGCTTTGTGTCAATACTGACACTGAATACCTCCAGACTGCAAATAGTGAGAATGGCTAACTGCTACAGATTTTAGACCCTCAGCTTACTGTCCTTTATAGACTTTTTATAAATGCATGTGTGCTTACCATGAATTTCCGTAAGAATATCTACATAACAGAATACAGACTCCTTAACAGTGGATCTATATTCTGGCAAGCTAATGAACAGATACGCAGTGTGGAACAGGAACTATTCAAGTGTCAGGAGGCAGTGAATGAACATGAATATTTGATACTTTGCATAGAGGGACTTTAAGGATAGTTCCACACCAAGGAGCACTACTTTTCTTTCAGCAGGCAACATCAAGAACCTTTTTGACTACACTGTCGTTCTGCAGCCTGCTGCTGCATTCTGAGGGAAGTCCCTGGAAACTTGTGCTACTGGCAGGTGGAGCAAGAGAGTGCAAAACATGGGATCAGTTTACAGCTTTGACTGCTTTATTTGTGGTTCTACCTGCTTGCTGTTATCAGAATCCTGCATGGCTGTTTCCCTTCTGAAGCATGTTGGAATATTAGACAACAGGACACATAACTCAGTTTTTGGGACAGATTATACATTTACTTTGCTTGAGCAGCTCCAGAAACACAGCTACTCAAAAGTAACTGAGCATCTGGTTGTCTTCTCAACTATTCAATAGGTAGAATTTATGCAATATAAGCGAGGCAAAGTCATCCTTACCTGTCCACTGGCACTCAAGTGGAAAAACTTCTGAGCTACATTATCTAGTCTAGGACCAGGGTGAAAAGCTTATGATGTACACTTAAACAAGTATCTTAAGCTATTGTAATGCACACTGTGTGATAATGATCAAGTACTTAGAGTCAGATTTCCTTACTGAATTAAGTACTAGTATCATTGTAATGTAATTACTACCTTGCCAAATTAATTTCTCACCATGAATGAAACCAATGTGCATTCTGACTGCATTCAAATTAAGAATGGGAATGACACCAAATACAGGTGATTACTGGATTATACATGAAACATCTGCACAGAGAAAGTGTCTGCAGGAAGCACTATCACTATTAGGCCAACTCGTAAGTACTAATAACAAACAAGCTTTCAGGCTTACAAGCATTTCTTCAGAAACAGCAAGTTTTGAAGGACAGCAACCAAGACCCATTGCTTTGAGCTTAACTTGATTATAGTAATCAGAGAGCTTGATAACATTTACAAGTGTGAGAGATGTTAGGTCAGTGACCTCCATGCAGGAGACAAGGGTGATTATCAACTACGGTTGATAATGGCAATGAGATGTGGCAGATGTTGAAAGGTATCATAAAGACTTCTACTAAGTATCCTAAAAGTACATTGGGACCGATAATGAAAATAACAGTAGAGAATTATGAATTCTGCACTTGTCTGAATGTTTCAGTTTTATGTTGAATAGAATTCCAGAGAACAATCCTATTAACTTTCTGAAAAAAGGTGTTAAAATCCTTTTTCAGTACATATGCTCAAGCTACCACAATAAATTAACCAGT